AACTCAGCCAAAAACTTCATTTTCCAATCTAAACAACTCAGACATGATTAAAAGTCATACATACACGCAACAATGGCTAAAACCCATAACATACAGAAACATGAATACAGGGTGCAAGAGTTTTGGTATTATTACATAAAATACAAGCAAACAACTGACGCCTATGTACTAATTCCTAGATATTTTGAAAACAAGCATGGTACCTAAACTTTAGGGAAGATGAATGATCTAAAGCGATGGAATCATTGGATAGTAATTGCTTGTGCGGCATTGGTGTGTGCTCTAACATCAGACACACTGTTTAGGAGATGATGCAATGCTTTCTCAAAATTCACGAATCCCATGAACCAGAAGTCGTGACCATCAATTGTGACAATCTGGGTGTACTTCTCCGAAGTATTTTCTCTCATTGTCACAGGGTTGATCGTCCCAATGTTTCCTAATGGTATCGCAACCTGTTCATTGTATGCATTAGTCAACAAATGACAGTAGCAATTTCAGAAAGAGTAATTTGGGTCATTCAAATTATTTGACATAGAAAAGTTAGGCATTTGGGGTGTGTTGTGCCTTTGACACCCCTTCTCGGATTCATGACCCGGATTGTTTTTCACAAAAAAAGATTGGATCAAAGAGAAGGCTTGGTGGAATTGGTGATTCTAATCAGATACATTCTAACTTAAAGAATAGTGCTGTTGTTCACAAGAAGATTGAATAAAAGAAAGAATCTTGGTGGAATTGGTAATTCCAGCATACTGAGTCGTATTCTAAGTTTAAGTGATAGCTTTCCATCAAAATTCAAACGTGTGACTTCGAAATTTGTGATCATAGTTTCAGATAGCTGGTATCAACTGTTTCAAATACAATCAAACTGTATATACTGTCTAGGAAAACAAAATTCCGGGTTTACCTTGTAGTAGCTCCAAGCTTCCTGTCCAGATGGAGCTATGAAAGATAAGGGACGATCACTGCAGAAAGCCACACGAGTGGTTGATAGATAAAGGGTTCCGGCAACAGGGCCAGTTGTTGTGGAAAGATAACAAGCAAACGTCTTCTTCAGCTTCTCGTTTGGATCAGCTGCAAAAATCTGCTTGTAAAGAGACTCAAATCCACCTTCTGTAATTGCCTTGGCTGTCAGATTAACCTTCCCCCACGCAGCTTGCGACACAGATGGCCCCATTTTCACTGAATTTATCCACAGACATAAAGAAATTGCAAAATAGTCAAATACATACTTCCACTGGGTTTTCTGTGCACGCAGGCCGTCTGATAATCAGCTCCAACTACGGATTGATTGGTGAAGCTTATTGCATAAACATATGTGATTGATTAACATGCCAATTTTACAAAAGTGATTAGGATTGTGGACTTACAGTTTTGCCAGATGTTGCGGCCTATAGTCTCAGCTCTGTGGCTCCAAGAGTTGAACATATGAATGACGGGTTCAAAAGGATTGTTGCTGGGTTTGTCCACAGGGGAGTAGACGAGGTAAGGCTGGTGGTGGTATTGTTGCTGGTGATCCCCAGCATTCCACAGGGCTGCCTTCTGATTATCGGGATGAATTGTTGGGATTGCCGGTGGACCCATGATGTGGGTGCCCCACTTCTTGGTGTCCTCATGAGATGGTGGTGGTCCGGCAGGTGGTCCATGGAGTTGTGGGTCTTTAACTTTGGAAGGTGATAAAGGAGATTGTTGATTGGGTTGATTTTTCTCAGGTGTGCCTGCCATGATTGAAGAAATGGAAGGTAGCTAGACCTTGAGAAATGGTGTGATTGGAGTCTGGTTGATGGTGGTTGTGATTTGAGATCTTTGCCAAAATTGGCTTGAACTTTCCATTAATTTTATAGAAGAGAGTAAATTGTAGATTAAGGTACTGTGTGATGTATGTACACGTCTTCTTTTCCTTTTCTTTGCCACTAAGCTATTTGTTGCAAAACCTGGCAAGGAGATCAGGATCATATTCTTATCTTGAATTGCCTTTCTGTAAGAGGCGTGTCTCAAGCACACGGTCTGGCAATCTTATTGGCTTCTCGTTCACCGTTTGGTATCCAGAGAAAGAAAACAACAAGTTTCCGGCACATGAAAGCGGGTGGGGCTCCTTTTAAGTTTGTGGTCAAGGATGGGTTAATATCTGTGTCGAACACAAATGCTATCAAAGTGTTTTAGCAGAAATGCATTTTTATCCAGTAAATTGGACATCTTAAATTATGCTCGACAAGACATTCTATCTTGCAATGAATAGTATTAAATTTATTTCCTTTTTTAGAAAACCCAAGAGATATGCAAAATTTAAATATTTTCAATATACACGTGACGTGGCCTCTTAAAATTTTCGACAAGTCTTGCGAGACAAACTCATATAAATATATAAAAAGAGAATATAATTACCTCAAATATGTACAATAAGGTAATTAGCATTAGAAATTGGAATTGGATTAAGGATTCTTGAGTTAGTGGTAGAAAATGAAAATGCGCAAGACTAGGGCATGACATATATAAAATTAACTAGCAATAGCTCGATGCTGAAGATATTCTATAATATCAAATTTTGAATATTGTTTTAATTATATAATTTAAAATTAAATTGAATAGAGAAAAAATAAAGGAGAGAGAAAAAAGATAGATGTGGATTAATTTGGTTATTTGAGATTGAGTTATTTGACATTATAAGGGTCAGGGAAAACAAATTTGAGGCTGAATTTTGGATCATTGAATTAAAATAAATAAAAAATTAAATTAATCTTAACTGTGTTGTAATATTATAATTAGTATAACTTCTTAGCGGTAAATATTAAATAGATTCTTGCTGCCGACATGAAGGAAAATTCCTCCAAACCCAAATTCTTTAAAGGAAAAGAACAGTCTGGTAAATGGCACATGGCTCACTTGCTGGCCTGTTAATCCGGAAGCCTAGTAGTCCATGGATCGGTCCGGCCCACCACATGATATGTAAACAGAAAAGTAACCCATATATATAGGGAACCTCTATCGTCCGTGGTTTTAGGGCCGCTAAGTCCAATAAAGAGTTATGAAGGTTTCCCTCCTTGTAAAACACAAGAACCAATTTGCTGAAACGGAAAATTGTGAATAGGCAGGCTTATGAATTATTTATTTGTGAGAAAATATTTTTTTAAAAATATATTGTAGATAAGTACAATTAGATGAAAATGTATTGTATGTATATACACAATGAGTTTTCTAAATTTTTTTCTTTTCTAAATTACTAATTTTCATAATTCATGTACTGCACAATTTGACAATTCGTTATTTCGTGAGATTTGATTTTATTAAATCAGCCGTTTCTCTATTTTAGGAAATCTTTTTTTTTATTTTTGAATTTTAAACATATTTTTCTTCACAATCAATGACGTCTAGTTTAATTCACCCAAAGTTGGTGCTCATCTTCTTCAACGAATGCTTATGCTTCAACGTTGGGTGGTCGTATTTTACTTCTTCATCTACGGTTTTCCACTCACACGTTGCACAGTATTTCTTTTTCGTCAACTTCTGCTATTTCAACTCAGAAGTTGTGGTTTCTTCTACTTTTAAAGACTTGTTAAGAAAAATACATGTCGAAGTTTGATTCTGTAGGCTCCATATACCAGCATGCATTTTTTTTTTTTTCCCATTTATTGCATTCATAATATGGATACCACATTGGGTAGTCACATTGTTACAAGCACAATATTCGATCGACAACACTGTCACTTTGCAATGTTATAATGTGTTGTAATTTTGTCATTCATTAAAAAATAATACATATGTATGTCACACTGTGTGATGCATACCATTTAGATTGTGTATGAATCAGTGATTAAAGTGTTAATGAAGATGAATCAGTATTTTGTCATATTATCGACAATCTATATTGGAAAAGAATGAAGATCGATCTTCAATGGTTCTTCAACATCTGTTCTATCATTTCACAGGCGAACGATTCAACTTCCTCAAAAATTTCAAATGATTGAGTTTTTTTTTTAGTGTTTGGTTAAAAACTGAGATTTTGTGACAGATTTGTTTAAATTTGAAAACCCATATTTTTAACAATGTAGCAGTAGCTAGATTTAATGGGAACTTGTGGGTAATTTTGTCAATCAAGAAAATAACATACTTATGTACGAAAGGTTTTTAATTAAGGACTTTTACATAATTAAGTACTATAATGTGTATGAGTCTACAAAAATTTCTAAGTGAAAATTAGAAATAAGTATAGTCTAATTATTTTTTTATTAATAAAAAATTTATTAAAACTCAATCGGTGAATAAGCCATTAGAAACCCATTAAGATGGGTGTCCATGTGCCTTATATTTTCGGGAGCAGGGTAATGCTGACCCTATTCCTAAAAAAGTATTCATTATAATGGCTAAATCACACCAATATTATTTTGAGGTATTATCGTTAAATAATAATTTATTTATCAAAAAGAACAAACTAACAAGTGAACAAAATAAATCTCGCTATTTCAAAAATTATCCTTCCATTTAAGACATTAATGATCTCATATAAAAAAATATGGTTCGTTTTATTTACTTAATTGTTTATTATTCATGAATTCTCTAATTTTAGTGTAGATAATCTATCTTTAACCGAATTAGAAAAAAGATTGATCGAAGTATTTGTAAAATAATCCGGACATCCTTGACCTTCGATTAAAAAAAAAATTATTTATTTATTACTAGATTGGTACATGACGGATGTAATATAACGTTGGTCTCATCTTTAGGTACGTGACAGTATGTGTGACACCCGTAACGCGTGTTTGATGGAAGATTATCGTGTCATATTATAAGGGCTCCTTCTTTACACGTGACATGAAGAGAAGGTGGACAGTTAATTTTAGCATTGTTTTTTTGTGTGTGTAGTCTGTCGCAACTTACTATCAAAGATAACGAATCTGGACCCATCTTCAAGCGATGTCTGAAAGCACTACTACAGATCTACATTTTCCATCATCTTTCGCTGATATAAACACGTTTTGCTGGGGTTGGAAATTGATAAGTTGTTCCAACTCTAGAGTTGAATATTGAAGGCTAAGAGCGATGAGGTACCACCATGTTCACGAAGAGGCTTATCCTCCACCACCACCAGGTATCAATCTATTCCTCAACCAAATCTTCTCTAAATCTCCATTACTTCATTTTACATTTTCCTCATGCATGCAGCAGTATTTCCACCACCTTCTGATGGGTACCCTCCTCCACCTCCACCACCTGGCTATCAAGATTATTTGAATGAGGGTTACCCTCCACCACCAACTCGACACATTGACCACCAGCACTATGAGTCCCGCCGTGGCAATGCTTGTTCTTCATTCTTAAGGGGCTGGTATGCCATAATAATTTATTATAAGTAGACTTCTCCTTGGATTTCTGACATTTTTGTGGAAACTTGTTTTTACTATTTGCATTCATAAAAACAAATGCAAAATTATACCCTCGCCGGTGAACTAAATGGAGTTGACAGTGTTAATGAAATTAAAGCATTCCTGCTTACATGTATAGGCTCATTTGGCCTTTCTATGCTTCTATCGTATACGTAAATTGTTTGGTGCACCTTCCAATCTCTTCTATACATGGGTCTCTAGCAATCTGTCAATGGTAAATATCTAGCCATTTGGAATAGGAATCCTCACGTGGATAGAGACAACTTTGCAAAAGTAGGTTCAAATTCGTTCAAGTTATGACTCAATTTGAGAGTTTATAGTAGGGATTTATATTTAACATATAATACCATCTAGCTTAGGAGAATATTAATTGTGATTTTATTCTATGAAAATTAACTTGATCACTTGTTATAAAAGTGAAGCATCTGCCTTCTATTCGAGGGTTTTAATGTCCCATAGTACAATTTCTCTTTTACCTTTTTTTTTTTTTATCCTTTCGAGGGTTTTAAGTGGCATTGGGGCCCCAAGGGCCAGAGTTACCAGTGACTAGTGTCAATGGCTAGATATAGAGGGTGTCGACGCAATGCCAGCACTTGATGCTGCAGAAAGCATTAGACATTTGCAGTTAATGTAGTACTTTTTGGAAAAATAGGTTTTATAAACATCGATTCTCACTCTGAAGAAAAGTTGCTACTATATATGGTCATGTCTTATGCAGGTCCTGCAATCTAGACTTTATTACATGGATATTCCAATAACCGGGGGTTGAATGTCTTTTCTATTCTCCCTTTTCTTTTTTTAAAGCCGATTAGCATAGCCTAATTGTGACAAATGTGGTGTTAAATTGTTTGACCCTTTTGCAGTTTAGCTGCCCTTTGCTGCTGTTGTGTTCTGGAGGAATGTTGCTGGTGCTGCGTCTAGGCTGTTCATTATACTTTGTTAAGTACATGTTACTGTCCAAGAACTTCCACTCATGGTTCTCTAGCTATGTGCTTATATAATCCTTGTATTGCATTAAGAGATCAAAGTAAGCTGAATTGAACTGTTTGTAACTTATCGTTTTATAGGTTTGGTGTGGGCAACTATGTTTCGAAAATGTTTCTTCCTTATTTTAAATGTGTGATATATATTTATTTCTAGGCTTGGTTTGAGGTGTGGTAAATGGATGAATTAGGTTGGTTATGAGTTGTGTTAAATTGAGTTAGGTTAAAATAAATTCAATCCATTTTTCACTCGCATATTAAATGAGTTATAATGAGTTAGATTTATAACGAGTTGAGTTAAACTTATGGGCCTTTGGAGGCCATTTTTTTTTATTCTTATTTGGACTTAAATACAGTCAAAAAACTTGTTTGGGAATAAGTTTATTTAGATCTTAATTGTCTAAAATACCCTAAATAGTTATATTTAATCAAAACTTGTTTGAAAAAAAGTAACAACTCTTAAATTGAGAATTATACTAGTATTATATATATATACAAGTAATTTTTCATGCCTGAAGGCGCTACGTAATAAATAAAAAATCGCAAGCAATTACTTGTACATGAAGGTTTTGTGTAACATAGATGATTTGACACAAAACTAAATCCTTACAATATCCTGACTATACCAAATGGCTAAGAATTTCTATTTTCTACATATTATGAAACAATGCATTACTCAATAAAAACCAAAAATAAAAAAGACATAGAAATTGGTGGATTGTCGCTCTTGGAATTGATGAAGTTATCTTCTTATTTTGAATTGATGAAGTTCTCTGCAAATTTTTTATTCCTAGATTCTTGAGAGAACCTATAAGCATTGATTATGACACCATTAATTTGTTGGATACAATATTGGTAGCAACGTTTGTTGTATCTATAAGCAATTGAAATATCTCCTATCGCAGCAAAAACACACACCCAATCATAGTAATTAAAGCTCATTGAAAGAATCCCTAAGCAAAATGAGGTGTATAATTAAATTGTATGTATAGGTATTTCAACCATCCACCCATACGCTACCATCTGCCCCATCGTCCCCACGCGAAGTGGTATTACTATGATAACTACTATCATGGAACCAAGATGAAAGCTAAGTATGACATTCTATGAATATGAAAATGAAACTACTTAAGCACTCAAAATGGATATTTTTTTTTTCCTTTGTAACTATTTTGTTGAAGGAAAAGGATAACAAAAAAGATATTTCGTGTAGCATAAAAAAATCGTCAATCAGTATGAGTCAATCATTAACACAAAAAATAGCGCATTTGAAGACACTATGCAACAAAAAAAAAAAAAAAATTGAGCACTGGGCATACTATTTAACTATTTAGATAGCAACTTTTTTTCATTTAAACCATAATGTTCCATTGACATCCCGCATGTTACGTCCAAATCAAATAGCAATTAAATGTTAGCTCTGTCACAATTTAAGTTATTTTGTACCGAAGCGAAACAACTAACATTTTGCATACATCTCCAATGTCAGGCTCCCTAGAAAAAGAAATCTCATTGGGCATGCATGTATATACGTTCTAGTTCAAAAAATCCAGAAGCATGATGTCTTCTTTTCCTAATTCATAATTAGAACGTTCTAGTTCAAATCTGGAATGAATCAGTGTTCAAAATGAGCACGATAGTTTGCCCAATACATATAACGAGCTAATCCTTTACTAAATCTCATTACATCATTCCATTATGAACCTGAACCATTGTCATAACAAACTTTGGCTTGTTGTATCACCAAGAATATAGAGTTCACATGCTCAATCAAAATCCTTGAAGCCACTTGCAGCTTTGACCATACCCTACAATGGTTAAAAATAATTTAGTTGCTGCAGTCAAGGGACTACAATGAAAAGCCACTTAAATCGCTCACAGAAACATTACTCAAAAATGAGGTAGAAAGGAAGCTTAAAATACTCAATCACCAACTCTTGTGTAAAAAAGAAGGATAAAAAAGAACATCTTCATATACGAATTTACAACTAGTCAAATATTTTTTGGACAACAAAATGGATTTCTCTTTTCATTCTTTTAACTTGGGACTTGAGAAATCATCAAATTGAAGAGTTCGAGTCTATAGAATATAGAAACAATCAATTCAGAAGAGCGACAGATGTGTACCTGCTTCCATAATTTCAGTAAAGAAGTCTTCCAAAGTATTGAGATGTTGCAACATACACCTACAAAAGCTATCACCTCTGCTCGTAAGCTTATAAGCCATTGAAGTTGAAATCAAAATTGGGTGTGTGCCAAATATGTGTGTGTACCCAAAAAAAATTCAGCGGGAAAGAGAGGTAGGAGAGAGTGGGTTCACATAATTCTTACATGAAAAAAATAGAGAGAGTTTCTGGGAGAAAAATTAGAGAGTTGCTGGACAGTAAAGGAACTGGAAAGCAGGAAAAAATCAGAGTTTTTTTTGGCTTAAAACAGAGGCAGTGAAGATTGTTCTGCCACTGGAACTGAAGCTCCATTATTGGGTCTTAGGAGGCTTTTTTTTTTGTATGTTTATTGCTGAAAAAACATAGATAAGCTTCCCTTTGTGTTTCTTGATATGGTATCGAAGTTATTTATGAAATTGAGTTGTGTTTTGAATAAAATTAGTGTGAAACCTATAACAGATTTTTAGCTACTGTTTTGGGTTCTTTCTCCCCTCCAAACAAATGCAAAACAAACAATTACCTAAGCAACTATTGGATGTCTCTGAACAATGAATCACTGAAATAAAGAACAAAATCAACAACGATCTTCAATCTATTTGGCAACAAAATCAATGAGAAGCCTTAGACTTACTAATAAACAATCCAATAGACTTTTTAATACAGAGCGAGAAGCCTTACCTTGCTCTTGGAGGGCCACAATAGTAAAGATCTAATTTATCTTCCTTTCGGGGATTGAGTTCGTCGATGAACCATTTCGAGGGCGCTAGTCGTGGAGTAGCCAAATATTTGTTTAATCAATGAATGAGAATTCGAAAAGTAAGGCAAAACACCATCTGTTAGGCATATTGTCAAACAGCTTGCATGCAAGAAGCCAATAGAACAATATTTGAAAATACTGCTGGTTTTAGTTGGGCACAAAATGTAATTGGTAGAAACAATCAAAAAAACCCATAGGAAGTGTCGAACACAATATTACAAATAAGTAGAAAATCAAAATCAATCAATCAAACATAAAAGAGTACCTCGTCAACGCGGAGGAGCTTTCAGAAATCAACTTCTGAATCCATGACTAAGAGAAATTCCAAGAAGAGGAGCGAAAGGGTAGGGGGCTATTGTGATGGTTGGAGGAGCAATGGAGAGATTAGCTTCGGGAGGTTAGGTCAACGCCAATACAATCTGGATGAAAGAGAGTGGGTGGTAGGAGTGTGTCAGTCCAATAGTTCTCTAGAATATGTCGTGCATCACTTAAGAAGGTTTGTCTATTGCCAGAGTTTGCACATAGAGAGATGAGAGACAAAGGAGGATGACAAAGATTTGAGAGAAACTGTGAGAGGTGAGATAGTTAATGGGAGAAAGAGAAAGAGTTTGGGCGTGATTGACGGGCAGAGAGACAAGGAATGTGCACGAGAGAGAGATTTGAGGCATTAACGATGGATAGGGAGTAAAGCAGAGAGAAAAGTTTGGATTCGTTAGAAAATAGCGTAACGGAGGGGGAATTTCAAAATTAAAATGTTTAGGCGGGATAAAATTTTTGATAGTTAATCAAGTGCGCTGATCGATAATTTTGAAATGATCTAAGATGTCAATAGCTTGAGACAGTTTGAGATAGCGTTTTACGTTGGATGATGCCTTTTTTAGAGATGAAACGATTTGAACCGCTCTTTGTCTCTTGGATTCAAAATCCTTCTATTTTATTATATAGATCTACTAGTCATTACTCGTGACTGAAGACATTATGTTACTTATAAAATTTTAACACATAATGATATGATGTTTGAATAATTTCAACATATAGTGATTATATTAGTTTTGAACATTTTTTGTTTGTACAATTGATATCTTATTTTTTTTGTATTGGTCACCTATTTTTTTTTTTTAATTTCTGATTAGCTTGGGCTTTTGATTTTTTTTTTTTATTATTTTCTGAGAACTATAGGTTTTTATATAATAGTGATTTATTTTTGGTATGAATAATAAATTGATGATTTATTTATGGATTATAAAAATAATTTAAACTTCATTGATTGATAAGAAGTAAGAAGTAAACATCAACCACTGGTATTAAGATGCGTGATAATAAAATCTACTTACGTGTACTCTAAATATGAATCAGTTTATAATAAGAAGGATGAAAAATTATATAGTAAGTATATAATGGTTTTTAATGAAGTATTATACCAAAAATTTTAAAAAATTGATATATCAAATAACTTACATGTCCAAAAATGGTGACATTATTCATTTGGATACTGGTTTTTGTGTTGTAGTAATGATGTGTATGATGTTATTGGGGTCAAACGTGAACTGGCAAACCTTGAAAAAAAAACATCAAATTTAGAGATATTATGTATTTTATGTGTATTTAAATATTTTTAAACTTATGCAAAGTTTTATTGTAAAATTAGAAATTAAAAAAAACCAACTTAAATCAAGGTACAAACAATACACTTTTAACATATAATATTTAACAATAATCAGTTAGTAACAATATATCCACAACTAAATCACACGAATATTAAAAATTAAAAGCAAACTATTGCAAAAACATACACTACTAAACCAACACGAAAAAATCATCAATATTCATAAACACGCATAAATGTTAAACATTTGCTAACTGCACAGTTATAAAAATTAAATATAAATTTTTGATAACTACCCAGTTATAAAAATTGAACAAAAAAAATTAACATGAAATAATGAGATGTTTTGCCATTAACAAAATTTGTAATAGATATTTTTTTAACTAATCATTTTATTACAATCAACAATATGTTTTGTTCACTTTCAATAAAAGTTAAAATTTTGAGAACTATAAGTTTTCATGTAATTTTGAGCAAAGTGACGATTACGTATGAATAATAGTTCGAAGGTTTTACTTATGAATTGAATATTTGTATTTTTTGTTAGTGTGAAAGTGGTGATGACGATTAGATTGGTTTTGAAATTTTTTTTTTTTTGTGCAATTGATAATACTTGTTATTTTTTATTGGTCACTTA